TAACAAGGCGAGGATGATCTATATTATGATTGTTAGTACTCTATGGCATCAGGACATTTGACGTTTTGTTTATATGTTTAATTTTTAAAGAAATGCTTTATTTTATTTATTATGTATGAAATCCTTCTCAAAATACAATTTTATACATTAAATGAATATATTTTACCTATATGCGGTACACAATTATATATAAATAAGTTTAGAAATATGTTTTATGTAGATAAACATATTGTTTATTTGAAAGGTTTTGCTTTTGTAAACAAATAAATATGAAACCAAGGCAAGACTTATTTATCATTTACGGAAACTTTAATTAATTCTTGATTATAAAATTATTAATAATGTAAAAAATATTATCATTTATAATAATGTCTTGTACGTTACAGGTTGTGTGGATCTCAAGACACTTGATTGTGATAAAGCTAAAAGCAAAATGAAACCGACAATGTGCAAAGAATTACTATTTTATCTATTGATTATCATAAACAATTTTTATATAATAAGTTCTGAATGTCCACAACAATGTATATGTGATAAAAAAATCAAACAAACCATCACAGATGGAATACAATCAGAAAAATATTACATGAAAGTTAAATGCAATTTATTAAGTGAAGATGTTGATAATTTACAAAAAATTAACTTTGGCGATTTTGCTTTAGATATAATTCATTTGTAAGTTTGTAACTCATATTATGTATTCAGTATTTTGTTTATATCATTTTCTTTTTTTCAGAGATTTAAGTGAAAATCAACTGACCAAGTTAGATAATTTTTCATTCTCAAATTTAACCAATTTAAAAAGATTGGATTTATCAGCAAATCTTGTACAAAATTTAGATAAAAAGTATTTTCAAAGTATGAAGAATTTAGAAAAATTAATTCTTAGGCAAAATCAAATAAAATCTATACCACAAGGAACATTTCAAAACTTGCTGTCGTTAAAACAACTGTAAGTTAAAATAATTTTACTATAAGAAATGGTTTGGCAAACGTAATTAATTTCATTATTTGCAGAGATTTATCAGCAAATCCTTTGAAATGTGATTGTGATCTAATTTGGATATTAGACTGGGCGCAAAGGAATTCTGTGAAATTATCACCAGGACCAAAATGTCAAAGTCCTTCAGATTTCAAAAATAGTTCTTTAAAGAAATTAAAAGTCGGTATAGATATGCATTGCGAGACGCCTATCACTCAGCAAAATCATGTTCAATTGAACCCAAGATACAATCAGGTATTAATTTATTTTAACGATTAATTTAGTTCCTTCTTAAATGCGTATATTATTGTTTCAGGTTGTTTTTGAAGGTGATTCTTTGCAAATACATTGTTTAATAAGCAGTAAATACAATAACGATGAAAATTTAGATCAAAACACAATATCTCCTTGGAGTTGGACACCGCATAATTCAAAACAATTCTCAATAGGTATTATTAATATACCTATAAATCTCCATTATTAGATTGAAACCTAATAATTTCAATTTTTATTTGTTTTAGACATTAAATATAACGATCTTGCGAGTATGTTTCCAGATATAAACATAATTAATAGATTTGTATCCGATGGTGGAATCATTGATTCACGTCTAGATATTGAAAACATTCGTCACAATCAATCTGGACAATTTTCTTGCAAAATGGTATCACCCAAAATGAATGTCTCCAAAAGTCTTGATGTAGTTGTTATTTCGAATGAAACAAAATATTGTCAAACAAACACCACAAAAGGTCAGTACATACTTCTATTTCTTACCATATCACAATTGACTTTCAAAATATGTATCTGTACAGATAATAAAGGCATATATACTTGGCCTGCTACGGTTGTTGGTAACAACGTAGTTTTAAGATGCCAAGGACAAAGTAGCGGTCAAGCATTTGCAACTCATTATTGTTCTGTTAATGGGAATTGGTCTGGTTTGAACACGAGAGGTTGTCCATATGTGAACGAGATAACAAAGGTATTTGAATATTTTTGATCAGTTATTGTATTTTAATTTACGTTGTTTTAGCAACAGCAAATTTTGAAATGTTTCTTATGGTATAGATTTTTATCTGATTTTGCCTCAGAATAAATTTTTCCAAACTCTGCATATATTGCTAATACTTCTTATATCACTTTTGTACAAGATTTGCTGATAAATCCCATTTTTTTAATTGGTTAAATTTGAGAATATAAAATTATCTAACTTGGTCAGTTGATTTTCACTTAAATCTCTGAAAAATAGAAAATATAAAAAAATTACTAATACTAATATATAATATGAGTTACAAACTTACAAATGTATTATATCTATAGCAAAATTTCAAAAATTATTTTTTTGTAAATTATCAACATCTTTACTTTATACATATTGCATTTAATTTTTATGTAATATTTTTCTGATCGTATTCTGTCTGATTTTTTGACTGATTGCATAACAATTATATATGATAATTACTATATCACATTATACAATATACCATATTTCAGATACTAGAACAATTCGCAAAGGTCAACTTAAGTCTGACAAGAAATACTATAGTAGAAAGTTCACGAGTCTTAAGGAATTTAACTTTGGTATCTGCAGCTAATATAACAAAATATAATGATCCCGATGATGTAGTTTTTATTGTGCATACCTTTCATAATTATATTGAATATTTGTCCCAAGAAAAGGAATTAGGTATGCTATAAATATGCTAATAAATTGGACAATAATATAATAATGATTTATGTAATGTTTATTGCAGGACCTATACTAATAGATATAGCCAGCGAGCTTATGAAATTCCCAAAACATATTTTAAATGCAGCTCAAAGACTTAATAATTCTTGTACTGAACTTGTAAGAGATTTAGAACTTACTGCTTCTTTTGCACCCGCACTCCAAGTTAGTTTTATTAGATGAAAATAAATACTGTAATGACTATGAAATAGTCTATAATAACATTTACCTTGTAGAAAAATCTTGCTTTGGAAGAATTTCAAGTGAACCAAGACAGTTTTACTGGTTTGACTTGCTCATGGCATATTTTTGAAGATGCTAGAGTTTTTCATTGCTCTATTTCAAACCAATCACTGTTACGCAGTCCACAGAATCATCTAATAGATGCCATAATACAGGTCAATGTCTACAACTGAGATATTAGAATAATGCATTACCGCTTTTTCCATAATATTTAATTTTTCTTTTAGATTCCACCTTCAGTTCTTAGAGATTTTGACACTCAAACAAAATCAGCTCCTTCTTCACATAATCTTCTAGTTGGCATGTTTGAAAATAATAACTTTTTTCCCATATTAAATAAGAACGGCTCGGAAAATTTTAATATACTATCATGTATAGTTGGAGTAAAAATAGGTAATAAATAGGATACGATATTTATATGAGTTCATTTTGATTCAAATTAACATGTATTTTTAGAAAATCAAACCATTAAAAATCTAAATGAACCGATACAAATTATGCTACGACTGCCGAATTTTATGCGGGGCGATAGAGCTCCAATACCTGTCTGGTGGAATCAGCAATTGCTATGGGACATGGAGATTGGTCAATGGAAGGATGCCACTTATCTTACACTAATAATGAATTGTTCATATTCACTTGTGATAATGTTGGATATTATGCACTTATGCAAGAACCATCTATAGCTAATTCTAGCAGGTGATGATTTGTTAATTATTTATAATTATGAAGACTGTACTTTTAGTTAATTGATAATTTCTCCAATTACAGCAATGAACCGATGGGTGCCAAGTTTAGATTCCTGCATTTAGCTGTGTACATTGGAAGCTGTTTACAATTTATCTGTTTGATGATTACCATTGTAACATATATAATTTACTTCAATGCTATTTTGATGCCAAGAAAGACAAAACATTCATTGATTAACACTTGGATTGCTATGTTGTTACTCTGCTTATCGTTTACATTAGGCATTTTTCAAACCGAGTCAAGATTATTATGCCAGACCGCCGGAATTATACAGCACTACTTATTTTTATCATGCCTTTTGTGGATGTCTGTAACAGTCAGTGATATGTATAAAAGACTTTCTGCTAAGGATCCTGTTTTATCAGATGATTTATTACAATCAGAACCACCAATCCCTAAACCAATAGTTGGTTTGTACCTGCTAGGATGGGGAGTTTCTCTCATAGTATGTGGTATTTCTGGTGCAGTCAACATGAAGCAATATGCATCTTTCGATTATTGCTTCTTATCATCCAAAGCATCGTTAACCACAGTTTTTGTTCCAATGTCAGGAATGATATTATTTATTATATCGATGTTTTTAATAGTTTGCTGGGCTATCAGACGCTATGATATGTTAGGACATATGTCGGAAGGAACTCAGGCAACAGAAAACGTTGATATAGAATTGCTCGAACCTCAAACGGTGACAAGTGGTGGTAGACAGAGTGCGCAAAGTATTTCAACGCCTACATCGTGCGAAATGGAAGACCAAGAGAATTCTCCGAAAATTCAATTAAAAGCGCATGTAATAGTGTTATTTTTACATTGCTGCATGTGGTCCACTGCAGCAGTTTATATCAGCAGGCCTCTGAAGCACCTAGTAATATACGATGAGGATATATTCGGCTCGCTGTATGGTATTTCAGCATCAATATGTGGAGTTTTCATATTGTTTTTCTATAGTGTTGCGCGTAGCGATGTTCGCAGCCAATTGGAGACCATGATATGTTGCCCGAAAGGTCAAAAGCGTTGGTGTCGTTCGAGAACAATTTCCGACGCCACTTCAAATAATAAACCTCAGCAGGTAGAACTATTAGGCAGTGTCCCTTTACAGCCAATATCCAATCAAGACGCGGCAGCACTTGCTCTAAGTCAATCTTTGCACGCAAGTTCTGGGAAAACCATCAAACGTAACAGTGGTAACGCTCGGGATTTAATCCCCAATGACCCACAGGCTGTTGTAATTCATCGTAAGCACTACAGATCTACTGATTCTCCAATGAGTTTTGCAGAAAATCAAAATGGGGCAGAGATGTTCTACAATCCCAATCAGAGCAACGTAGCGCGGAAATTTTTCAAAAAACAAAAACGCCACATGAAGCACAATAACTTGGAAATTCATCGGTTAACAGATGGATCAAAGAGTGATGGAGGTTCCATCATTTTCAAGCCTCGTTCGGCATTGGAAGCCGGCGTTATGACTACGAATATATTTGCTACTAGTTCTAAAGTTAATAATATAAACATTCATGCTGAACAGAAGCCTTGTAATAAAGAGGTTCAGAAGCATTGCAATATATTATCTGACACAGAGTCAGATTTCATAGAAAGAATAAGTCCTCATGCAATACATTTCATACCCGCCTCGGACGGGATATGTGTTTCCATGAAGCACAAGAAAAGCAATAACGTTGCCAATATATATACAAACGTACCAGAAACTTCTTTACCGGAGCATCAGAGGGTACCTTTGGTTAAAAATGACTTTGCTTCAATGTCTTCTGAAGATACAAAAATTTTGCGGCCAATATCCTCCAAAATCTTATGTGAAAGTTCTTATGATCCGACACCGAGTGTTTATTCTGAGCTAGATAGCACTTTAGAAGAAAAGAAAGACTTTAGTAGCAATCTAGGCCCTTGTCACTCACCAAAGTCTTTTCTAGATTTTGATGAACTTAATCACACTCCAACCAAAAACAATGAATTTATGAGTGTAAAACAAGACCATAATAATAAATCTGAAAGTCCAATTTTGTTCCCTTCTAATATTGTCAATTTATATGACCATAAATCTGACAACGCCGAATATTTACGGTCAAGCAGCCCCTTACTAGAAGATTTCATAAACTATCATCAAGCAGATGAATTTGAACCCAATTTTGATAGTGACTGCAACTATGTGCAATATCCTACTTCAGAATTAAGTATAAAAAGTCACGGCTTATATGCCCCTCAACCAGAAATAGGTGGGAACGATTTAAATATGACTTTGATAAATGAAGCTGATCTAAGATGCATCCAAAATCGCGTCCACGACAACGATTTTCCTTATCAGCCATCAGAAATAAGTGCTATAAGTTCTTTAACCAATGACAACATATGTTCAGGTAAAACATATCAAAACTGTTCCCCATATAGACAATCGTCAGCTAGTTTGAATAGTGTGAGTGACATCATGCAAAGTTCCCAGTATCAAGATTATGCCCAAGTGCATAGTACCTCTATCGATGATCTTTATGAACAAATCAAGTGTAGACCAAGACCAAGAACCAGATCATCGGCTTATTATGTCAACAGTGAAAATTTCAAATCCCCCCATTCAAGATCCATGGAATGTGATTTGAATAGTCATGAGAGAAATGACTTTGATGTGAAGAACGATAAATACAAAAGCTAGTAAATTTATCATGCTCAAGTTTAATATGTATTGTAATTTCTAAACTGTAACCGATGTACCTTAACAGAAAGAACAATCATGTTTAATATAAGAACTGCAGAAATTTTAATTACAAGACTAAATAATTAAGACTGACTATATTCTGCATTTTATAAATATAAATAAACTATTTTATTATATGTCTATTAATAATCATATGTATAATTTATGTCGAAAGTGATTCTAATTGCAATTAAAATAAATATGTATTTTTTATATATTGTATGATTTAAATCTGTAAGTATGAAAGTAGAGTAAAAATCAGTATTTTATATATGTAAAAATCATGTAAACATTTATAAATGTAGATTTGTGATAAATATTTTAAATAAACCAGAAATATGTTCAAAATGAAATTGTGTATTATTTTTAAGAGGGCTGCGCACACATGCATACATATATATTACATACTAGATGACCCGACAGACGTTGTCCTGTGCCCATGTCTACAATTTTTTAATATAATATACTAATATTTTCCGTTTACTTAAAAATAATAATTATTGCTTATTAAATTAGTCTTCACGCCAAAATGCATATACATTTACAATATGAGCGATGTTAAATGTAGAACTGTCTTAAATAAAATGATGAGTCTCGATTCCCGCACTATATTGGGAATAATATAACCATAACCATAAAAACTATATTGAAGAAAAAACTATATTGAAAATTTAATATCCGAATCTTGTGTTGGGGCCCATCGCATTAAAATTAGGACCGGCCCTGATTAATACTTAATTTCATATTTGAATTTGAATGTGGATTAATTTGTCATATCCTGTTCATGTGTGTATCATTCAATCTGCCATACATATACTGTATCTTAAATTATTTAAATTTCTGGCACATCTCAGCTGCTTTCTGGCAATAATAATGTAGACATTTCATTTTTCTTCTTCATAATCATAAATTTATTATACATATTCTAATATTGTCTAGATACATAAGTAAATTGAATTTTTTGGCAGTGTCGTTTTTTGCAATTTTTGCCATTTATTTCTACAGTATTGCACATACATCCCAGTACTTTATAATCACGTACATTCTAGAAAAATTCTCTAACAAACTTCAGAAAGATTTATCAAAATCCGCATAATCGTTTAGAAGGAGTATAGAGTGAGTGCTTGTAAATTTAATATGAACTTTATATAATAACAATAAAGCTCAAATTGATTCCTTCAGTTAAAAAACGTTTGTATGAAAAAAACAAAAGGGCTGTTTTTAGAGTTTTCCCGGCAATTATTCGATTTTTTCTCGCCGTAAGAACCATCCTTGGACTTCAACAAACATTTTAAAAAAATAATTGGCCAAATTGGTCCAGGCGTTGTTGAATTATGCGCTTAGCAACAAATTTTGCGATCCATTTTTATATATAAGATAAGTCTTTTTAAAAAATATCAATTGAAAATCGCATCAACTAGTTTTTAGTAAAAGAAATAACTTTATTTTCAAAATAAGCATTTGAGATTCGAGTTCATCATCTAAATATCTAAATATGAATTCTTATTCATTAAGTTGATAATTTACACAGCTAGCCTCAAGACAAAATGCTACTTACAATTACCAGTTAAATTGAAAATTTAGTTTTCATTAAAAATACTACTTTTAAAAAGGTTTAACACAGAGTATTTAAAAAATAAAAAAATATAACATTTTATTAAACTTACATGCGAAAACAAACGTTTCCAATAAAAACAAAATAAATTATTCAGTTAATTCAATGAAAACAAAAGTAAAATTTTGCCTTAAGGTAAGTTGCATTAACCGAAAAGTGCAATTAATCAACTTAATAGATATAGAATCAAGTCTCGAGATATCAGTAAATTAATTTATGTATGTCAATTTGCTCTTTTAATGTTGAAAACTACTGTAAATTTTATTATGTTATAAAAAACAAAGACACTCTTAGGGCATACGAATGTTGTAAGTAACTTTGTTCCATTATTTCAGACTTATTTAAACGTTGAATTTTTAATTTATAATAAATTTGTGCATGATTAACTAATTTTCTATAACAGGTATTTACAGAAGTTAATTTTTTCATATATAATATTACAGTTATTAATTCATGAATTAAAAACTTTGTTTATTAACTTCCCGTAGGGCAAGCTATAGTAATCGCAAAAAATCGAAAATGAAAATTTTTGCATTTCTCGACTTTTCAAAGGTTTCTGAATATTTTGGCATACCTTAGCAAAAATGGATGTATGTGTGTGTGTGTGTGTGTGTATGTGTGTGTGTGTATGTATGTGCGTGTGTGTATGTATGTGCGTGTGTGTATGTATGTGCGGATACAAATTTTCGTCGACGATTTCGGGAACACCAATCAACCGATTTGAATAATTCAAAAAACTTTTCACTTGTATTGACAAGATGGAGAATCGATAAAATTTTCATAAAGGTAGGTCTAGCGGTTTCGGAGATATGGAGGAAAAAGTAAAAAAATTAGCCTTAAAATAGGTCAAAAATGATCATTAGACATATGCACATCAAATTATCAGATATTTTATAGAGATTTTAACAATAAGTATACATTTTGTTAACATTTCTATGGGTTCCGTACCAATGTTTACGCGTTAGACGTCGACGCGGCGCTTACGCGGTTTGATATTTCGTCTTTATGCAGTTAAAGCAGTACGATTGCTTTGAAAAAAAGTTTAGATCTTTCAAAATATGTCAAAATAAAGAAAACATTTTTTTTCAAAAAAAAAAAAAAAAAAATTAAAAAAAAATTTTTTTTTCAAAAAAAAGTAATTTTTTGTCTAATTGTTTGTCAAAAATCTTATTTTTTCGAAGTAAATTTTTTTCAAAAATGTTAATCGTTTTTAAAAAAATAATTTTTGGTACGGGAAGTTCCAGCAATTTGCCTTAAGGCACGATGCCTTAATTGCCCTAAGACAGAATTCTACTTACAGCTAGTTGAAACTTACTTCAAATTTGTTCCATTTGTAATTTTGGCATTTTGGAACTCGTGTCATGCTTTGTATTAGGTCTAAAACTGTGGTATTTGATCATCCGAAAAAAGTAGCACCATTAGTCTGCTGGAAATCTAAACTTCGTATAGCAACTACTTTGAAAACTTGCTGCAACAGCACCCTGTGACAGAAGTCTTATGTGCTTCCTACAATTGATAGATATTTGAGATACTTTGAATGTAAACATCATTACAAAATCTTAAGTTTGTTGCTATTTTATTATACCTAAATGAATTTCCTCCATCACTTATTTTACAAGTTAAGTAACTTTTCTCTCAGGGTCCCGAATACTACTATAAACACTTGAAGAAACCAATTCTTCGGCAGTCAACATCATGGTAAGCTGTTCTATCACAAACTGCTCAACTGCACAAAATCTCCTAAAAATTTAGTAAAATTATAGTAATGAAATAAAATAATAAATTTAGAATTTTGTTTACTTGGTGAATCTATTTTGGTTGACAACTAAGTAAGTGCTGCTTTCACTCTTAGATGAAAAATAAATCGAAAACGTGATGTATTCCATCATTGACATCACACATCTTTAAACACTCGGCAAAAATTATTGGGGCTTGGTGGGGATCTTTTACCACATTCAGGACTATATGCTAGAGTCCTGACCTCGCACTTACTATTTACATTTTGTTTCAATCTTCACAAAACTCCTTGAATGTGAAACAATTTAATTTGACAAATTGTATCTGACTTAGTCTTTTGCCAATAAAAACCAGAAGTTTCAATAAAGTGGAATAAAGGTGCTGCTCGAAAGATGACAAAATGCCCAATGCATTACATAATAAAGTTAATTAGTTCCATGGAAAAATATGTTTGATTTTTAAAACAAACAAACACCCGCACTTAGTTGCCCACCTAATACAATAAGATTGCTTAGTTGGAAAAGAAATATGACTAATATTATCGCTCAAAATAGAAATATCACTCAAACGACTAATATTAACTTAATGCTTAACAGATTTATTGTGTTGTCACTACACAAGTGATAATATTTAATCAATTTAATATTTACAGAGATTACTTGATATTAAAAGTTTTCATGTCACTTACCGGAACAATAAGATGCAGCGAGTGATGTTCACGAATAATGCTGATTTATTATTTCTGCTTCAAGTGAATACATCAATATTGCTTCCAATAAATATCATCTTTGTTCCTTAATCGTTAACTAGAATCCTATACTGCAACTTGATCACATTGAATACTATTATCCTAAAAAAATTAACCATTAATATAAATTGAATTCATTTTGTCAAAACAATTATAAAAACTTACCAAGACGTAGCAATTCTTCCTTACAAACTGCTTAGGTCGGTTATACTTTTTCTTGTATTTAATACTTTTCTCCATTCTTATAAACTGGCACTGTAGTTAGAAATAATTAAAACACAATTACACTATAACCTTATTTAATCTTGCCATGTGTTCGCAATGACAGTTCAACTGCAAATGACGGCCATGTTCTTCTCAAGGAGCTGTCAAAAGTTAACAGGAGCCCAGAATTCTATTAGACAGGGACGCACTTTGAACAACTTTAAATATTTTGAACAATTATGTAAATTATTTTGAATAATATGTTTTACATATTTGTTAAAGATCTAAAAAATATTATTATAACAAATGCACTTGTTTAAATATTCACGAATTGTTCACGCATTGACAGTCAAACGACAGATGTCCGCAAAGGTTATAGATCTGTCAAAAGTTAACAGGAGCCCAGGATTTTATTAAGCAGGGCCACACTTTGAACAACTTTAAATATTTTGATTATTTTAAACAGTCCAAACCACAAAATATTATAATAGCACTTGCTCAGATATTCACAAATAAATAAATTTCTCAACTGCTTTGAATAGTTATCAAATCATTGCACTGCATAAATAGTTTATTCACTGCCCTGTATTGTAAAATATATTAAATCACTACACTGCTTTAAAAACTATTAATTAAAAGTTAAATCAATCATATTAATGTATTCGCTACTACATGTCGTTTGAAAGCAACGCACTTTCACAATTATCGTATGCATTCTGCATATTTATCATTATTTTCAATGTTTCGTAGCTCAAATACAATAACATTAACGCTAAAATAACATTCCAATCACCAAAACTTATTAAAATATCTCAAATCAATAAATCACATATTTCTTTCAAATAAATATTCTAAATAATTACCCCTAACATTTCAGCAGACGGTCCTGCGAATTCGAACGAAATTTCATTCCGGGATGTGACTGTTCCCCTGGCAGAATGAATCGATTTAGTACGAAAAATGTTCCATGGAAACGTCAAATCATACAAAATCTCGTATGAAGCGTCTCGAAGTATTAGGAGCGCAGACGCAATTTTAGCGCAACCGAAGTGTAAATTAAAATGGCGCTTATATTAAGCAGGGCCGTCTGTTAAAATGTTAGGGGTAATTATTTTGAATATTTAGTTGAAATAAATATGCTTTTTATAGTTTTGGACTATTTTAATCAGTTTTGTTCATTGTAATATTATTTTAAGATTATTATCATTATAATTGAGCTACTAGATATAAAAAAATAATAAATATTCAAAATATATAATTAAATATTTATATTTGATTAAAATATAATATTTTAGCATGGCTATTAATTATAATTTGCTAAAAGCAACTTGAAAAATTCAATAATGTGCACATAAAATTTATAATAAAAGAAAAATTATATTATTTGTACTTTTATTTATATAATTACAAAATATTACAAATACATATATATTTATATGTTTTGGCATTTAATGAGTTAAATTAATATATATCTTGTCCTATTCGAGAAGCATTCTTTTAAATATTATATTACAGTAGATTGCACTAATGCAATTGTAATACGTCTATTAAATTCAAATTATCGCTATCATTCATATTCTTTAAAGATAAATTTAAAGTTAAGATGCACTGAATTAATTTCATTGCTTTGATACAAATATTCATGGATTTCGTAATATAATTATGTTAATTTATAAGTAAATTAATTTATAAGTATGTAATATATAATAAATAAAAGATTCTTAAATCAAGTATAAATCATATTATATGTAAATCTAACAAGAATAGTTAAAATTAATAACTAATTATAATGATTATTATAACATTATACAAACACATTTTCTTTTTTAGCTTTTTAAGCACTTTGTTCAATCACACACATTCTAAGTTTAAATTTTAGAACTAATCAGTTGTATGTACAACTTGCCAGAATATAATGGCACTTTTGATCTTAACATTACAAATATATTTACTTAATTACTATTAGCTACAATTTAAATATCAATAATGCACATGCATTACATCATGAGTTTTATAAAAATTAGTTTTAAACAGATTATAAAAAAATCTATGAGAGATTACTTCACTTATATATAAGTGCATCATATGTAATTAAAATTAGTCATTTACACTGTTGTAGCAAAGTACAAAGACAACTTCCTTTATACATCATAATATTCTTGGATAAATGTTACATCTTCTTTATTCGTCCTTAGTTACATCTGCAAGATGTCGACGGATTTCAAATCAATTTATCAGTAAATATTTGCTTTACGAAAGGTCCAGCTAGAGGTACTCCTACAGTCTGCATTCGAGGTGGTCCACTGCAAGTTTCTAGACTCAGAAGATACTCAGGATTGTTTATTGTAAGCATGAAATCTAGATAGACACGTTGCTCTGGATTATTGCAAATTCCATAATGGAATAGACTATGTTGTAATAATAAATAATAAATTGTAGTCTTACTAGTAATATTCATTAACTAAAGAACTGTATTGTTATATAAAGTACATGCAATGATCAAAAATTTAAACTAATTATTCTATATTTACCATTGAGATCTATGTAAGCTCTGAGTGCTTGCATTGTATCAAATAATAATCTTCACCTAATGGTCAGTCTTATTTTATTCTTTGTACAGGTGCTTCTTCTCGTTCATATCAACTTCATCTTTCAAAAAAATTGCTGCAATACCTTTTCTACATGCCACTACAGAAACTATACAAAATAACTTGAAATCATATTTTTTATATTATTATTATACAATATTTTCACACCCATATTTTATTTGGAAGCAGATCGTCATATCCAAACTACATTAGTAATTATATTTAAAAAATTCTCTAGCCAATACAATAGAAAACTAAGTATTTTATATTTTTTGTGTATTGAATGATTTGTCTAGAATGTACATGGCTTTGGGTTTATATAAACTATACAATATATACATAAATATTGTTATCAAATTATCAGTTTAATATTTCTGAACATTGGATATGAATGGGAATGCTTTTTGTCCAATTAATTTCTGAAATAGGTATTTAGACAAAAGCACAAAGAACTATAAATTTACATTAAGTAAACCAACTATTAAAGTATTAAAACCAATTCTGAATGTCTGGCTAATAAATTATTGTCAGCTATACGCAGACATGGCGCTGTATTGTAAAATAAAAAAAGTAACAAACAACCGAAGCAATATGTAATTTTGTGCTTATTATTGTATGCGACCTTTAAATAAGAGTGTTATTTTAAATCAGATCAGCAGTAACAGCGATCCTTTATTAATGTAATATTTAAGTAGGAAAAAAATTCTAATAAATGCCTACTCAATATATAAATATTTTATATTATCCATGACAAATGAATAATTAATTATTAGTGTCAGCTAATTGTTTATTTACATTCCCCAATCATGTTAAATCCATATCTGATAACTAATTACAAGTTTAAAGAAAGCGAATTTTTAATAAAACTATTCACTGATATTAATAATTCTTTAGAATTAGTGCTCGTGCATAATATCTCCAAAGATGAATGGCGTGGATTTTACAATTGCTCCTATATAGAGAATATGACTCAAAAAACTGGTAATTACAAACAATTTGATATTTTTGTCACAATGTTAAGTGCTGGATTATTAAATACCAGTGATAGTATAAAATTAGAGCTTTTAACATTCAAAGATTTAAAAGAATTACATCACAACAAAACATTTGCACGATCCGAAAGAATAGATCTTACTTCAAAAACCAATAAGAGATATTTAATATTGACATACACTGTTGAATTTGATGAAATCAATTATCCATTACCCTTAGAATATATAGGTCCACCAGATCCAAAAACACAACAGAAAATAATATACAAACTAGAATCTAGATTGAGAAGTATAAAACAAATCTTACAAAATGGCAAAACTGAAACGGCTGTGATAAATAAATTAAAAATGGAAAATAAAAATTTAAATGCCGAAAATATTTTGCTCAAGCAAAAGCTCAAAACAATGCAAAGCAATACTAAATCCAAAAAAAACATGATTTTGCAAAAAGCATTGATTAAACTTGAGAAAAGTATAACTTTAGAACGAGAAACACATCATCAGTTAGTTCAAAAGTTAAGACTTAACAATTCACGCCTAAAACAGGAACTGAACATTACAAAGCGCAATGAAAAAATATTGCTAACTAAGTTGAAAGAAAATAGTGATGTCTTACGTTCCATAAACAGGAATTATAATTATGGTAATAAGACGAATGCGGGTGGAGAACATGGATCAAGAAAATTGACTCAAATTTATCCGAGAAAAACTAGATGTCATTCAGAATCTCCGGATGGAGTACGTACTTCAAGAAGATTCAGTCAAACTAATTCTACCAAAAGTAGAAGCCATTCACAATCATCTAACTCCTCAAGAAAATCTATATTTACTTTGACATCAGATAAAAGATCTAGATCTTCCTCTGTGGGACATTGCTACTCTCTAAATAGCTTACAAAATTTTAGTTGCAATTCTGCAAGTACCAGACGATCATGTAGCTTGAGAAATCTTTCAAATTGCAAAATAAGCAGCTCGAGTAATTCATTAGCAAACCATAGAGCAAGAAGTAGAAGCTTGGAAAATACAAAAAACCCTAAACTCAAAAACGTAGTAAACAGATGCAATAGATCAATGAGTATTCAAGAAGGATTAAAGAAGCAGCAACAACTTTCTGCTGTTAGAAAATTATTTTGAACCAAATTTCTACCACCTTATTTCCACTAACTTATCACAAAACTCTTGAAATATAAACTATATCAAAATATAATATGACTTTTCATGCTGTACTAAAATAGTTTTTAAGGGCGTTATAAGGAATCTTGTTTAAAAGTTTTCAAAGTTAAACTATTCAAGATTAATTGTAGTAGAGGTTTTTTCAAAATTTAAATTATTTTCAAAGATATAACTAAAATCATCCTCTTTTTAAATGATATTTGTTATAAAACGTCCTCAGTATCATCATTGAATAAAGAAAAATATTGATAAGAAATAAGTAGATTATTAGTTAATTTATTAATTAATATGCATAAAAGTATTCACCTATCAATCCTCATTGTGAAATACTTGGGACTTAATAACATTTCCTTTTTCATCTACATCATCCAAAGTTATAATTATAGGTTTCTTATCACTAATATAACGCTTCATCACAGAGAAATCTTCAATACTTCCTAAATTAGAATCAGTCTGATTTGATTCATTTTCTACAAGCCAATCAGTTTCAGTCTTCAAAGGAGGATCACAATTATTTTTCGTTCTATATCTTTTCCTTGTCTCTGTGCCTTTCTTTGCATTTCTTTTTTTATTAGAAATGGTTGGTTTTATATTATCTGATGTTTGCACTATGATATTTGTAACATCTGACATGGTCGTTGGAACCTCCTGGAATTTCAATTCATATAGTGTATAAAATGTAAAGTTTTTAAATTTTTCCGTCTTTACTTACAATTTTGACATCATAATCGTGATTTGCGGATTTTAGAAGTTCATTATTAAATGCTGTATTCAAAGTATTTTCACTGAGTTCAATATTTTCATAACGCATAGTTTGCAAACGATAATAACCATCAGATTCCACTCTATACCTATAGATAATATCCCATAATCATGAAAAAGCAAATATTCATTATATAAACATAATTGTTATATCTTATACATAAATTTCTTCTGTAATAATGTATGAAAGGATACTCTTCCTAAACGATTATTCAGATTTTGATAAATCTTTTTGAAGTTTGTTAAGAAAAATTTTAAGGATGTTGTGATTATAGTAATATAGTTAGATTGTAGAAATAAATGGAAATAATTACTTAAAACCGCTTATCATTGTTTGACATTGAAAATATTTAAGGCATTGAAAACAAATGAAAACTGTCATCTGCCAAAAACTTCAATTCACTTATGAGCCTAGACAATATTAGAATATGTATAATTAGTTCATGATTATGAATAAGAAAAATGTAATGCCTACATTATTATTGCCAAAAAACAGCTGAGATGTGCCAAAAATTAAAATAATATAAGATACAGTATATATATATATTGTTATACAGTTTAAAAGACTTCAATTTCCAATATAGTGTGGAAATTGAGACTCATTATTTTATTTAAAGCAGTTCTACATTTATCATCGCTCATATTGATGTATATGCATGTATAAACAATAATTATTATTTTTAGGTAAATGGTAAATATTAGTAAAGGATATTAAAAAATTGTAGACGTGGGTACCGGACACATCTTTTGGGTCATCTAGTATATATATATATATATATATATATATATATATACACCTGTATAATTATGATAAAATGTTTTCAGACATCCATCTAATAATAAGAAATTGTGCGGAGGTGACTGTATACAAATTTCCAACAAAATAATACCAACTAATTTACTCACGTGAACCGAGAATGTCCCGGTGGCCAATGGAACCCATGATTCTTAATCAGATGCTTTGTGAGCTCAGAGCCGCGTATAAATCTCTGCTTGCACTTATATACATGGCAGCAGTATGCAAACTGTGCATTTTCTTCAATATCAGAATCTGGATCAACTTCACTCTGATTTTCATCATTGCTTGAGGTCAAACGAGCTCTTTGATGGGTCAGAGTGTGTTTTGTCAAACCAGGCAGAGAGCGACAATGAAAATCACAATCCTCAAAGTCGCATGCATATTTCTTGATGTCATCATGTGTGTTCATGTGCAATCGTAGATCACGTTTGGTAACACACCTAACAAATAATAATCAGTTTTTATAATAAGAAAGTATTTAGTGATACAATTATTAACTCTTAATAACTCTCTATTAATAATAATAAGTTAATAATGTAAGCAGTAAGAAAATAGAATGAAGTGAATATACCACACTCAAGAATAGAATAATATTTAACCAGGCAATTTGAAAAATAAAGATTATATAAAATATTCAATTTATGATGTTATAGATGTTATATATTGAATGTACTACATTCAAGAATAGAATAATATTCATTTGTTTTGCATTGAACAGGGAATATTTAGCAAGTTGATCTCAGATTAAAGAGTGCTCATATGAAATAGATTTTACAAATTCATCTAAGATTTGAACATAAACACACTAATATTTATTAAATTATTAGTAAGAAAAATGTACGAAATTATGTAAAAAAAGAATAAATTGGCAAGATTAATATTAATAATAATAAGTTAATAATGTAAGAAGTAAGAAAATAGAATAAAGTGAATATACTACATTCAAGAATAGAATAATATTTAACCAGGCAATTTGAAAAATGAAGATTAAATAAAATATTAATTTTATAATGTTATATAGTGAATATACAACATTCAAGAATACAATAATATTCAACCAGACAACTTGAAAAATGAAGATTATATAAAATATTAATTTTATGTTATATACCAAAAAAAAAAAAATACATATGAATAGTGAACAATCCAACAGACCAAAGCATATGAATAGAAAGCAAATTACAAAGTTTATTGCACAAGAGTCTTAGAATATTAGTCCATTTTAGTCTTAATCATGATATATTTATACTTAGTCATATATTATTTAATATTCACCAAGTAGAATATATGTTTATGATATTCAAATATTTATGTTATATATTGTGATGCCAATGCTGGAAAACCAATATTGGCAAGATCAATGTTGGTCAGACCAATATTGGCAACTACAATTTAGGGCAGTTAATTCAAATGAGTTTGAAAAAATTCTATTCGAAACCATAGAGTTTAGATTTAATTGAAAGCGGTAACTTTGTTTTTCAAATAAACAGTTGAAAATTTTATCTAAATATCTATATTTCAATTTCGATTGATTAAGTCAATTCTTACACATTTTAGAAAGTTCATGCAACTTGCCTTAAGGCTAAATGCCACTTTCAACTAGTTTATTAATTATTTGAATTATAATTGAAAATGAAATACTCACGCATGATCGCAGAGGTAACATTTAAAAACTCTGTCATCGACATGGCGATATCTAATATGTTTGGCCAAAGCAGAAGGTGTTGTGCATGTCATATCACATAATGAGCATTTATAATTATTAATATGCAGACGCATATGATCTCGTAATAAACGGTTGGATGGAAAAAATTTACTGCAATTTCTGCAGAGAAAGTTCTTCTTAGCACAAACTAAAATGAATAAAATAAACTGGTTTTTATAATATAAAAAAATATATTTAAATAAATATTATAAGATTAAATAATTTCAATAAAAAATAGTTCATTTTAAATGCTTTTTTCATTTCTTAATGAAGATATTTCAAAGATATTGTTAATATATTTTTAATACTTCATCATTTTATCATTTTCATGATTTTAGTTATTTTTTTTTACTTTCTCTTTTCACTAATGAAAAGAAGTATTAAAATATCTTTACTTAATAATCTTGAACACAAATATAAAAAATTGAAGTATAATTTATTATATTAAATATGAGTAAACTGAATTATTTTGTAATAAAATATCTAAAAATACTTACGCTCAATAGG